GGCATAGAGGACCTACAATAATGTACAGTATTTGAAAAATAATGTGTTTTTTGAACATTAAAGCATGTCAATATATTCTGTTACACCAAATACACAAAATAATGATCTTTAAAATAGCATCATATGACCCCTTTAAGGAGGTTAAAGGCTTATGAAACATGATCATTGACCTTACAATTTCAACAGGAAACAATGTTATGTTGTTGTATGTGGGTCAAAGACGTTAAGATGTCCGCATCAAAAGAAATTTACAAAAGTGGTTTTATGTCCATAGAAAGCACATTAAATGCAAGTAAAGTGTCTACTTTTAAGGTTTTAAATAAGTTTTTGGAGGATAAAATGTAAAAATTTGGTTGAAATAATGTTACATTTGTCATTCAGTATAACACAATACTTATGTAAAAATTCAAACAACATGCTTATTCTGACGTGTACATACTAAAATATATAAAAGAATAAGGGAGCATATTTAATTTTATTGGGTTTTAACTTTCTTACTTTCTTACTGACAAATGGGCAAATTTTTTTATATGTAAAAATTACAACTAATTAGTATTTGGGGTGAAAGTAATTAGTCTTTTTTTTTCTTGACAAGAATTGCATTTATTTAGATGCAGAACGTCTTTACGACCACATCAAATGGGATACCTTTCAGACGCGCACTCCAACTTCGCCTCAGTGCCAAGCGCTAGTCAAACGAGCACGAAAAAAAGGTACAGGTGATGAGGAGCTTCAGTAGAACAACCGTGAACTGCGGTCAAATCTCAGTAAAACAAAATTTGGGGAAAAACAACAACAATTTAAAGCAGTATTACACTTATTGTTTTTATGCTTAAACCCTTTTTCATCTTTGACCCATGTATATGTCTATGCATATACAGTATGTGTAAGTACACTACCATTCAAGTTCCAAGTAAAATTTTATTTTTGAAAGATATTTTTATTAGTGCTGTCAAAATTAGCGTTAATGCGTGCGATTAATTTTTTCAGTTTAACGCGTTAAAAATATTTAATGCAATTAACGCAGGGACAGAGCTAGGGTTGGCCACCCCACTCACAACAACTGCTGCTTCTGTCTCTTTTTTTTTTCTTGACAAGAATTGCATTTATTTAGATGCAGAACGTCTTTACGACCACATCAAATGGGATACCTTTCAGACGCGCACTCCAACTTCGCCTCAGTGCCAAGCGCTAGTCAAACGAGCACGAAAAAAAGGTACAGGTGATGAGGAGCTTCAGTAGAACAACCGTGAACTGCGGTCAAATCTCAGTAAAACTAATTTTCCTGTCCTGTCAGCCGTTATACTGTGCTCGTAGCACGTGCTCTTCAATTTCACGCACAAATGCAGTGGCGCACGCTGTATATAATTTCATATTAAAGTGCAAATGAAACTATGAGCATGCATTGTCATAGTTATGTCATCAGTTAAGTCATGAAGTTACCAAAAAGGCGATTAAAGCTGCTTTAAATCTGCACATGCATGCAAGTATTTGTTATATATGAGTCAGATTTAAGAACATGTTTCTGAAATGGTTTTCTAAACTGTCCTGGAGCAGCCCAGAACTGTCTCCCTCATCTAACACACCCGATTCAACACATCAGCTCACTAGCAGAGACTTGAAGTGAGCTGAAGTGGGTCAGAAAAGGTAAAGAGTTATGAGAAACTACGATGCGTGTCATGTTCAGCTCTTAAAGCAGCCAGTATAACCTAATAACCCAGTGGCTGTGATGTCTGTTCATCCGAGAACAAAAGAGGAAATCAATAACTCTTATAACTTTAAGGATTCATCTTTATTTAATTTATAATTTAGTGTTTGATAACTTTATTCAATTTCTGTATATTTCCTACTTGCTGAAGGGCGCAGGTAGCTAAATATGACATTTATTATAATGAGTTTATCCGAAGATTGTTTTAAGTTCACTTCAATTAGAAGTTGTAATTTTTTAAAGTCTAATAAATGTTCAAATTAATAGCTTTCAATTATACTGTAATGTTGAATGGCTATAGACAATGGTTAAATATTAGAGAAAAAAATGTAGTATTGGTGTCAGTGATACTCACCTAATATTAAAAATATACTTTGTTGTTTCTACATTAATTTGAAGATTGAATGTGAAATTATTGCAATATAAAAGTATATTTAAAAACTTTAATGTTAGGTGGGATTAATCGCGATTCATTTCAGAAATAAATGTGCAATTAATTAGTTAATTTTTTTGATTGACAGCACTAATTTTTATTCAACAAATACTCATTAAATTGATCAAGCGTTACCGTAATCTTTTATAACATTATAAGTGTCTTTACTATTTATAAAAAAATGCTGTTCTTTCGACATTTCTATTCATCAAAGAATCCTGCAAAAAAACTAGCATGGTTTGCACAAAAATATTAGACAGCACAACTGTTTGTAACTTTTATAAAATTAGAAAAATGTTTCTTGAGCAACAAATCATAATATTAGAATGATTTCTGAAGGATCATGTGAGACTGAAGACTGGAGTAATGATGCTGAAAATTCAGAATTATCATCACAGGAATGAATAATAGAAAACACTTATTTTAAATTGTAACAGTATTCACAATATAACAGTTTTTACTATTTTATTTTGAACAAATAAATGCAGCCTTGTCAAAAATTAGACTTAAATTTCAAAAACATTAAATCTTTGACCTCAAACTTTTGAATAGTAGTGTACAGTGGGTCAGGGTTTCCGCAGGGTCTTAAAAAGTCTAAAATTCGCTGTTCTAGGACTTACGTAATTTTAAACAGGTCTTAATTTTCCGATGTCCATGTAGCGCTACCTCTAATGCTCATTTCAATGCTCCTGCAGCACTTTAGAACGTTTTTTTGTTGTTGTTTGTTTCCGTGGTATTGTAGTTCTTTCTTTCGCTAGTCCAAATATAATTCGCTGTATTACGACTACAAATGAGACCAACATGCAACAGCCAATCAGCTTTCTGTTATTGGCGCGAGTTTCTCTCGGATTGTACCACAGACGTAAAATGGATTTTACTTTTCAGCAGAGGCGGACAAAGTACTCAACGCCATTACTTGAGTGAAAGTACAGATACTGCTGGTCAAATATTACTCCATTACAAGTAAAAGTTGTAAAGACAGATTTTTACTTAAGTAAAAGTACAGAAGTACTTGCTTTTAAAAGTACTTAAGTACCAAAAGTAAATTTCCTTTTTTATGTCAATGCACTGTTTTATTGTCGTACATAATACTTGCAATACTTCTGAAGCAACTTAGAGCAAAATCAGACAATATTGTGTCTAATATATACCACAATATTAACTTCTTATTATTGAATTGTTGTAAATAAATGTCACATTTGCAGCTGGTCAGTGTTAAAAAAATGCTGGGAAATCATTTCATGTAGCCCTACAAGAGTGATTACTGATAAACTGTCTGAAAAAAAGAAAGTCAAGTTTTAGAG